GGAAAGTTTTTCGTGCCCCACCCGGTATAATAAGTTATTGTTCAAGTACAAATAAGTGGATTGTTGTGGAACTTATGGGTGGACCTCTGCGGGACGAGCGCAGCGAGTTCCGCAGCCATCTACTCACCAATATACTGTTGAACTGTTCAAGTAAGACATTCACCTGAAACGTGTAGTTTTTAAACTAATGAGAATAACTCACATTTGAGTGAGTCAGGTTAGTATCGTAATTAAATAACATATTGATGAATAGATGGCTGCAGAACTCGCTGCGCTCGTCCCGCAGAGGTCCACCCATAAGTTCCGCAATAATCCACTTATTTGTGAAGGGTGTTTTTTTATATATTAATACCCCACCTACAGCCTTTACCCTCACAGGCAGAGATTCGCGACTTGACTTGATTTTCAAGCTACTTCACTTGACTTGACTTGATATCAAGTCAAGGTCAAGACAAGTATTTGTTTTTGAAAGTCAAGTCAAGTCAAGTAGTTACACATCAAGTAACTTGAAAATCAAGTTTTTCAAGCTAACAACTTGATTTTTCTTGAAAAAATAGTAAGTACCTACTTTTTTGATATCAATAGAGAGTTTTCGTTGTCTTTTAAAAGCGATTCCGATAGCCGCTATTTGACAAATTTGACATTTGAGCTAGCATTTATCGTTATCGTTACCGATAAGTGCCGGGAGCTTACGGACGGAAGACAAAATCATAGCGAAAACGGAAAGCATGCGTATTTCCTATGTTTTTGTTGTGGTTTGTTTTTGTTTTTAAATGTTTTTGGTTTTCGAAATAGATACTAAATTCCCTCAAAAGATCGAGAAATCGTTTCACGGATGAGGACAATATTATTTATTATATTATGTGCAATCGAGTGTTCCATCCTGAAAATCTCGCACTATTTTTTATAATTCTGACCACATAATTTTTTAAGTACAAGCCCTGATGAAGCCCTAAACTTTTGGGCGAAACTTGGTAAAGACTTAACAGGCCTTCTATTTTTTGTCCTAACCTACGAATTACCCCTCTTCATTGGATACCAATAGGACACGAACTTCTCTTAATCATTTATTATTTCATTAGAAGAAATATTGGCCAACAACCCCTCCTATATGACGATGCATCTAAATAGGCTTTTGTAGTAGCCAATTTTGTAAAGCCTATAGGGAAAATTAATGAATTTTGGGTACTAAGAAATTAAAACAAACTACAAAACGTATATTAACACAATGATAAACACAAACCATTAAAGAAAGGTTATGTTTGTCGAATTCGACTTAACGTTAACGTTAAGCGGATTGAACGAAAACTATTTTTACGATCTGTCAAATAGCGGCTTTGTTTTCGTATCCGTTATGGTTAACCGTTCGAATTTGTCAATACAACGAAAACTCTCTAATATGATTAACTGCCAACGCAATAACAATAACTTGCAATGTAGCCAATTTTACCGTTTCTAAGACTACGTATGAGAGTCCTTCTTTATTTTATTGTGATTGATTCAGCGTCCCAACATTACTAAAACTCCTAAATGTCAAACCTCCATTTGACTTGGTTTTTGAAATATGACAACACAGTTTTTTGTTGAAATGTATGGAAACAATTCAGTATTTCAGAACAGGCTTCAGGAAAATTTGATAAATGTCGGGATAATGCGTATACAAGATTCATAGGGGGGCTGGTAGTATTTCCTAATATTCTACATTTTTCTAAAGCCTGTTCTGAAATACGAGACCGTTTCCATACATTTCAACAAAAAACTGTGTTGGCATATTCCAAAAACCAAGTCAAATGGAGGTCTGGCATTCAGGGGTTTTAGTAATGTTGGGACGCTGAATTAATTACAATAAAAATGAAAAGGGACCCTCATTTAAAAAATGACGTTACTTATGACATCTTAGAAACGGTAAACTTGGCAACATTGCAAATACCACCATTGAATCGGGCATACCCAAAAACCCCTAAGTAGGAAATATTGTACATTTTTCTTAAGTGCGTTCTGAAATATTAAGCCGTTTCCATACATAACGACAACTCTCTGTATATAGATGTAATCTTTTATTTAAGAAACATCTAAAAACGAAAACTCTAACAAACTCCGTTAAATAATAAGTGAAATAATATGAAATAAAACACAAAATTCTCTTTTTGGGCGTGGCACCCCGAAAAATTTTTGGAGGCTTTCCCTTGTGCAACGGACCCTGCCCCCCCAAGACCAAATCTTATAGCCGCCACTGTTATTATGTATTTCAATTATTTTTAGTTTATTGAACTAGGAGTTAGAAGTATGTATTGGGTATGGTTATTAAGTTATTACAAAGTTGGGAAATTTGGGTTGCAATCCCCCCCCCCCCCCAATAGGATGTGCTTTGGTACGCCCCTGCCTAAAGGGCGGAATAAAAAATCCTACACGCAGGCGCTTGACCCCCCAGGAACGGGCCAGGCTGTAACTTAGGTGAATCCCCTATTTAATCTCGGTGAATCCCCCATTTTAACGCTTCGATGCGCATTTCACAGATCACTATCATGTAAATATTCCACAAGTCTCTCCAAATCTGATTGGAGCTTAAGGCTATCCTCCAAATATCAAGTAGTTTGATTTTACTTGATATCAAGTCAAGTAGTTCAGACCGAAAATCAAGTCAAGTCAAATATCAAATTTTCAAAAGTTTGAGTTTTCAAGTCAAGTCAAGTAAGTATTTAAGAAAAAATTCAAGCTACTTGACTTGACTGAAAAATTTGAGGTACCTACTTGGTTTCTCTGATAGTATTTTTAAAATTTTTAGAATCAGATATGTTGGGACGACTCAACCAAATATAGACAAACCGAAAGACAAACTATATAGTTTTGGAATCGCGAAATTGTGCTTTTCAAGAACAACCAAATATAGCGCATCCCATTTCAAAAACGCTGAAAGCATGGAATATTTCACATTTCTGACATTCAATTTTTGTTTCTGAACATGGATTCTAAAAATTTAGCCAATACTGAACAACTTTTGTATTTACCTTTCATCTACATGTAAAGGTTTAAGGTAAAGGCTGCAGGTGGGGTTTCATATATAAAAAACCACCCTGTACCTTATGATTTCGATTTTTGAAAACTTTGAAAAGTTATAATTTTTTTTCTGTTATATCTAGGTGTAAAGCTGAAACTTTCAACGATTCTTATCCTAGTAGATGACTACAATCCCTGCAAATTTCAACTTACTTGGATTTGTAGTTCTAGTAATAAAATCACGTTAAGCAATGTGGTGTGAATTTTCCAGCTTTTGAATTTTCCTGATGTCCTTTGTTCCTAATGAAGAAAACCTCATAATTATATTTCTATAATCAAAATAAAAAATCCTCTAAGTATAGAATAATAATTGAATAAAATCTCAGCTCTCCAATACATTCACCATTACTCTCCTATTTGGTGAAGGTGCAGGTGAAACCTACTTTACCCATAATCAAAAAAAAACCTCTCATTTCAAAGCAAAATTACTCACATTTTATCCAATCAATAATGGTTTCGAAAGTGTAAATTCGAAAGAAAGAAAAAAACACATTCATTAAAAAGATAATTCCGTTACGAAAGAACCTTATTAACTTTTGTTTTGCTTTATTTTTTTTCGTCGGTTTCCTGTCTTCAACTTTTGCAAGGTAATTTTGTCTGATCAAGGTGCATACTTGGCCTAATTTACGAATCAGAATCCATAACGCCTTATGGCATTGAAGGTCTGTACCAAAAAATTAACTACGTTTACATCAGAACTATGTCTATACTATAATTTTTCAGTTTTGCACATTTTTTGTAATTGTGGTAAATCTAGTAGGAAAAAGTTCAATCATTGAAAATCAAGTGAAGAAAGTAGGTACGCACCCTTTTCTTAGCATTCTTAACATTTCGACACAAATAAGTTGTTCACGAAACAAACCAAGTCAAACCCAATTACTCATCATCCGGATTTCGCGAGAGTGTGTACCAATAACCAACCACAATAATTAACCAGAAAAAAAATTGATTATACGGTTACCAAACCGAAAAAAAAAAACAACAACCAGTCATTGGTCCAATTACGTGTTGATCGCCGGTAGCTGGGTAATTTAGCCGATCAATTCGATATATTATTGGTAATATTTATAATAAAGTAAACTTTCAAGTCCAGGTGGTGCGAAATAATTTTCTCACACTCATCCCCTCGATAATTGAATCCCCCTTGATAAAATTGTGATTGCGTATATGAGGACAAAGGGCACGAGCCCTTTGTGCTTCCTTGTTCCGGTTTCTGATTGGATGAGATTTTTGCGTAATGAGGGGTTGAATTTGTATAAAAGTAACGGGGTTCCGAAATTCCTTGTCATTTTTATAGTGGTGATCATTGGAAGAAGACCTCTGGATTATATTTTGTGGAATAAGTGCTAAAGTGAATTTGTGTTAAAAAAATTAAAATCGGAAAAGATTTAGAAGCTAATAAAAAAAAAGTAAAACATCGTAATACGGTAGCTTAATTGCCCATAAGAAAAAGTGATTACCCAAACACCTGCCCGGGTTTCTCACGGTTCCTTCTTGGCCGGAGCAACGATCTTTTTTGGAACCCCTCTTGGTCGTCATCTTAAAGATTTCTTGAATTGCGTCATCGCTTCAGAAAAAAAAAAACGTCTTACAAGGAAGTAAAAGAGGGTGACCCGTTGTTTGGCTGGATTTATAGGGTGCTTGCGTGGGAATGTGTAGGGAAGCCCTTTTGTTATTGATATTATTTGAATTTTGATTATATTTTTCTTGAATATATATATTCACACAGTTAATCATAGAGGTAGGTATTCTGTGAACTGTAACTTTAAAATGATCAAAGATCGTATAGTTTGAGGGCCAAAATTTATATTTCTATTAGAAATTAGAGTATAGGAGAGCCTGGAATAGGATTTTCATTCATCTCAGTTGAATTTCAGCTCATTCAGGGTGCAAAATGAGCTTAACTTACTTACTACTTAACTTAATACCTATACTTAACTTACCCCTGATCCGAGCTACTGGAAAAGACTTTTTACACATTATTAATTCCACTTTTATATTAAATCTATAAAATATAAGCTCAGAAAATGCAAATTGTTTAAAAACAATAATGTTTATTTATTTATAAAATGTAAATAAATAATTATGACACATTCAAATTTGACATTTTCCCATAACTCCCACACGAATCAAGGTTATGCATTCAGCCGACGTAACTTTTTTCTTTTAATAAAAAGTTTTGCTTTATTTTTCTGGTCTCAATGAAATGTGGATTTATTTATTTTGCAGTCATAGAAAAAAATGTACAGTATAACGCGTGTGGAAAGTACTCTTTTCAACACTTGTTGCACAATAAACCATAAATCTCTTAAGTTGGGAAAATTTTGCACGAACTCGCAACACTGTCTGATGACTGGAAAAAAGGAGAATGAAATTTTATTCAATATAATTACAGAATGTTCCATTCAACTTTAGAAAGTTTAATATCTCGAAAACGACGCGTTTTTGGAAAAAATGCCTGTTAACTTCTATGACGTCACCTGGGATGCCTCAACATAGGCCGTAGGCCGAGTTCGTTTTTTCATCTTTTTCGTCGATTTGCTCTGAAATTTTGACAGGCACGTGACTGGATACGTCAGTTTGAAGTAACAAATCACGTGTCTGTCAAAATTTCGGAGGAAATCGACGAAAAAGATGACAAAAACGCCCTCGGACATTATGTCTCCGTAAAGCACCCCATATGACGTCATCAAGTTACTTCTTACCAGACAACCTATTAACTTTAAGAACCTTGCGGTCATGCATGCCCGAATTGTTAACGATTCGGTCGGCTCGAGTCGAGTTCAGCGCCAAACGAGAGAGTGAAATAGTCAGCATTACGAGTGAGAGAGAGATAGCGCGATTGAGATGCCCGGAATTACAGAAGCTCTGCAACACCAAGATACAAATAATGCAGGACCTGCAAGTCTGACTTTTCGTATTAAGGCCGTTTTACAGCTTGCAAGAAAACTTGAATGCAATTTGTTGCATGCAAAAAAATTGCATTCAAGATTTCTTGCACATCGTTTTACACCTTGAAATTTGACTTGTTTCCTTCTATAACCTTAACCATACTTTTTTGTTTTTAATGTTGTGTTGTTGATGTTTGCATTTTCCAAAAATGAAAAAAATGATTATATTGATGAATTGATATGAAAAAAAGAAAACAATAGCAGCCACTTTAGACATTATATTTGCTAAAAATTCCCCAACTTGCGGGAAAACCTTCAAGAAAAATGGCACAAAACCGATTGCATGTAATGCCATTCAAGTTTCAAGAATCTTGCAGAAAACAATCAGCTGACTCACTTCTGCGCATGCCCTCGTTCAACTTTCTTGCATATTGCAAATAGAATTGCAAGCTGTAAAACGGCCTTTACAGAAGCAGAATGCATTTGCAAGTCTCCTGCAAATTTGCGCATGGTGAAACGGTCCCGCAAGTCCTTGCAATCACTTTGACATTTGAATATGGTAAATCAGTAGCGCCCAAACACTTTTTCCGATAAATATGTGGAAATTTCAGATTTTTCCTGTAAGTTGCTCGTTTCTGCAAATAGAGCACATATGCAAGTCGGCCATATTTGCAGAACTGCAAAATTTGCAGATGCAAATATACTGTAACTTGGCCCCTATCGAGACTTCCCTTAGAACAAATTTCGGCAACGTTGCCCATATCATTGGTAAAGTCTGTTTTTTTAAAAGATAATTCCCCAAGTCAAAAATTTAGTAACTATGTTTGCAACACAAGCCTTTTCTACATAAAAAATTTGAAAGCATTTGACAATTTTACATTGTATTGCCAACATAATGTCATTTTGACTTTTATCTTTAAAAAAAAAAAACAGATTTTAAAATAATGTTGATTGTTTGTAAAAGATTGTCTGGTCCTGGCAAACAGAGATGATGTCATCAGGTGGTTAAAAGATTTGCATTATATTGAGACATACAGATGACGTCACGTCGTAAAAGTAATTAGGCAACCCAACCCAAGGTTCCTGAAGTTTATAGGTTGTCTGGTAATGGTAAACAGATGACGTCATTAGGAGGACCAAATGAAGATTTGCATTATGTTTTGGCCAATGAACTATAAACTACACATATTTGGAATGGCACCGAACGTTGTCGGATATGACATTCGTATGGCATTTGTATCTCTCTCAGTGCGTCCAAAATTCTTATAAAATACTTTCTCTCTCTAGTTCAATGCTGTTAGGTTTGGTATATTCCTAACCTCAAATATAATATTTTTTAGATAAGGAAATATTTTCATAATTCGCCAATAAGATAAATAGAGATAAGTATCCCCCACATTCTCCATCTCAATTTGCCGCAATTTTATAGATCGGCGGGCCATTTCAGGTACAGTCATGAGCACAAAAAGTGGGACACCCGACTGACAGGTCTTGTCATTTTTCTCCATTTTGCGTAAATCAGTCTTTCTCTACAATCTATTTTTTGTCAAATATGACAATCCCTAGAATTTCTTCGATTGTGACGTCATTTTCAGTTTGCTAGCGCGAAAGCTATTCCGAAAATGACGTCACAATCGAAGAAATTCTACCGAATCGAACAGTTCGTTCTTTACAGAATAAGGGCCCTGGTAAGCCTGTTTTACAATAGGAAAAAACGGGTGTCCCACTTTTTGTGCTCACGACTGTACGTGTAGTTTATAGTTCATTGGTTTAGGCATCTTGCAGATGATGTCATAGAGGTTATTAGACAACCTACCTCTTTCAACTTTGCAGGCAACCTCCTTCTTTCAAACAACCTTGATCCAAACCGCAAATGCGGCAAAATTCAATATGGAGGCAAAGGTCGAGCTAAAATATTCCTGTTTATACCGCAGTCACCGCTACTATACAGGTTGATCAATAGAAATTATTATTTTTCCAAAATTTGGAGCGCGATTGGGATTTAATCCACACTCCCGTAAAACAAATTTCGGCGACGTTTTCGATATCGTTGGTAAATTGTTGATTTTTTGTTAAAGCAGGTTGTCAGGTAATGGCAAACAGATGACGTCATCAGGTGGTTCTTTCTACAGATTTGCATTTTGTTCACGCATACAGATGAGATCACATCAGTTATCAGGCAACCCAAGGATCCTAAAAGTTAATAGGTAATAGGTTGTTTGGTAATGGTGAACAGATGACGTCATCAGGAGGACATAATGAAGATTTGCATTATGTTTAGGCATCCCAGATAACTTTATAAAAGTTATCAGGCAACCTTCTTCTTTCAAACAACTTTCCAACTTTTAAACAACCTTGATCCAAACCACAAATGCCAGGATTCAATATGGCGGCAAAGGTCAAGCATCTGGGATGTTTCTTTATTTAACCTACATACCTTTTTAAATCGTTTTCTGTCCTGTGGTCTTGAGTACACAGTGTAAACTTATATTTAAAAACACTACTTTTCCGAGATATTAGACTATGTCAAATTAAATGAACCACCCTGTATAATTCAAATGGAAATATTTTTAGAAACTCATGGTTAGCAAGAATTTTTGTTCTATAGTAGTCAATAGAAGTTATAATTTTTCCCAAAATTTCAAGGTGTTGCCACATTCACATTTTTCCCAGTCTACTGCATTGTACAGGGTATCCCATTTTAATTGTACTCGGTTGCAGAGTTTTCGAGAAAAAAAAAACTTTCTGTTTTTGTCATAAGAAACAATGTGTTAGAAAGAGACCGTTCTTTTACACAGAAATCACAAATTTATCAGAGCGAATTTCATTGGTTAAAAACAGTCAGAAAACTGGTGGTTGGCAATTTGCACCAATCAAAACCGCTCTTACTGGTTTGTGATTTCTGTGAGTACAGACATTAGACCATTGAAATCAGCAAAAGCAAATCTATCCAATGAGTTATTAATAAACAGGGTGTCTCATTTGACAAATGTATGTTTATAGTTTATAATTTAAAAACTATTTTTATACAGGGTGTGGATCAAATTTCAATGTTTAACTATTCCAGGATCTTGAATTAGAATTGAGCCGGAATTATCAGAAATTGGAGTTACCACGGAGAGCCTGGAATAGGATTTTTATTCATCTCAGTTGAATTTCCGCTCAATCAGGATGCAAAATGAGCTTCTTAAACTGCTCTATGTGAACAGTAACTTTAAAATGATCAGAAATTGTAGTTTAAGGGCCAAAATTGACGTTTCAAATTGTTATAGCTTAAAGGATAACGCACACCTAACATGGGATTTTTGGGCTCCATGGAGTTTGCCCATTTTTTGATATGTTGTAGAGGATTTATTTCTTAACAACCTTTAAATGGGACGAAGTCTTGTAGGTATTACGGTCTTTGAGATATAAGCGATGAAAGATGAACTGTTTTGCGACTTTTTGTGTGGAGAGTATACTAAAAACTGGGTGTTTATCAGTCAAAATATTGACAGGTCAACATATTTCACGTCACTAACAAATGTCAACATAAGTTAAGGCCGGATCGCACTGACGCCAACATTGACTCCATTGCGGTCCCGGCCTTAACCCATGTTGACATTAATTTGTGAGTGACATAAAATATGTGAACTTGTCAATATTTTGACTGATAAACACCAGTAGCACCAGTATCTCGTATAAAGTATGTTTTTTTTTTTAAAGATAAAAGTCAAAATGACATTATGTTGGCAATACAATGTATAAAATTGTCAAGGCTTTCAAATTTTTTATGTAGAAAAGGCTTGTGTTGCCAACATAGTTGCTAAATTTTTGACTTGGGGAATTATCTTTAAAAAAAAAAAACAGACTTTACTCGCCACACAAAAAGTCACAAAAAAGTTTCCTTTTCAACGCTGATATCTCAAAGACCGTAGTACCTACAAGATTTCGTCCCATTTGAAGGTTGTTGAGAATCAAGTCCTCTACAACATATCAAAAAATGGGCAAAATCCATAGAGCCCAAAAATCCCATGTTAGGTGTGCGTTATCCTTTAACTCTAGAATTGTCACAAATTGGAGTTATTACTCTAGGAGAGCCTGGAATAGGATTTTCAATCATCTCAGTTTCTCAGCTCAATCACGGTGTAAAA